TGAAGATGAGCCCTTCTTTAGCATAGGTGCCCGTCATCAAAATAATGTCTAACTTCGTGACTGGGAGAAAGTTTCTGAAGTTCTTCCATTTGATGATGATTAGGAATCTTAGGCTTTTAGGCCTCCTCAAGTCACACCCATGCCTTTAAAATTGTTTCTGACAGATATGTGACACCTCTAAGGAGCTAGGAACTCTGAAGTTCTGGGTTGTTCTGTGCTTCCAGAAACTTTTGAAGTGCTATCAGATTCAGACACGACAGACCAGGGAATTCAAAGTGAGAGGGGAATTGAAGGTGAAGGTGTTTGGATCCTTCAAAGTATTTCAGGCTTTCAATATGCTTGGGGTCTCTGAAGAGCAGTGGACTTTTTAAGTGTAAGGCCCCTCACACAGTTCAGGCTGTTAAAGACAGTACAAGACTTTGAAGCATTTGCTATCTCTGAGATGCTTAATAGTTTCAGGGCATTTGCTATTTCTGAGAGAGGTTCAAGATGCACGGGGATACTTGGCTCCTGAGAGGAACAGGTGACCTTCAAAGTACTTGAAGCCTTGGAGATTCTGGGACCCTTTGAAGTTATGTGGGCCTTAATTATGTTGGGAGACTAAAGTTTCTGTGGCCTTGGAGCTGCTCAGATGTTCTATGGTACTGGGGGTCTCACAGGTGCTTAGAAACTCTTGAGTTTTCAAGATGCTGGGATCCTTTGACATGAATTGAGCATTCAAAGCGCTTGAGATCTCAGAAGTGCCGACTTCAAGTTTGCTAGGGTCACTTAGTATACTTAGATGCTTGGATATGCTTTGATCTCTGAAACAGTGTAGTCTGTGGATGTACCTGTACCATTGAACTGGGGCCTCCCATTTGCTCCAGCCTTGGACAAAGGGGTTTGGAGTCTCTGAAGTATTTGGGTGAGATGGAAGTTTTTAGTATGTTCTGGCTTTATAGATTATCATAGCTTCTGGGATATAAAGGAAGCCTAGTCAAGTGTTTGCACCTTGCTTCAGCCTGCTCAGTTGCTAAGGCCTGCCAGGTGCTAGGGCCCTACTGGGCATTCTGAATCTATGATGTATTAAGACCCATGCAGATACTCAGGCCTCCAAATCCTCACATCCAGTGAAATATTTAAATCCTGCTACACAACGGGCTCCTACCAGGTGGATGCATCCTTGTAGTATATCAGGGTTCCCCAAGTGATTGGTCTCTGCAAAGCTGTGGAACTCTCTCAAGATGGTTGACTCCATGAAGGAGGTGCTCCACGCTTGGAAAAAACTCAGTGTCCATATGCCACGATCCCACCTTGTGTTTCTAAAGGTCCTGGAGAGAAACTATTTGAATTGAAACTCAGTACCTCTAGGTTGTTTGACATCTTCAAGCTTCTTGGGCCAAGGAAGGCAATAAAGGTTCTAGGAAGCCATTGCCATTGGACCGTTTTGAAACCGTCAGAACCCATGTATTGTTGGAAGCACCTCAGTTTGCTTCTGTGACTTTCAGTAAGGGCCCACTTTTTTATTCTTGTAGCTTGTATCCAGTCCTAGGTTGGGAAAGGGGGATAGAATTCACACACTCAAGTCAGGGGTTACATCAGACTGGAAGGCACAGGGAAACAGCGTGGCACAGTGTACAATAAAGCAGCCTCGACGACTTGTGGCTTCAAGCACCAATATCTCTACCACTTCTACCGGTGCCCTTCCTCCGGATGATGCTCCAGCTGAGGCCACCATTGCAGCTATCTCCACAGAGGATCCGAACAACAAGGTCCCTGTCACTGGCAGCAAAATAGCACCTTTGGCTAGTGTGTGCTTATCTCTCATGCAGCAGTTTTTCAGCTAGCTGTGCATGCCCCAAGCCCCCCCCTGACTTCCTTTCTGGCAGCCTACATCCCGCAACTCTGCTAGGAAAAACCTGCCCCGCCCCTCTTGTAGCACTGCGGCTCTGGCTCCCATAGAGGATGTGTGGGCAGTTTTCATTTACCAGCTTCCCTTGGCAGGCGAAGAGAGTGGGAGGCTGGCAGGCAAAGAAGAGTCCAGGGAAAGAGTAGGGGAGGCAGATTGAACAAGAGGGAGAGGGATGGAGACCAATCTTTTCATTTTGTATTTTTTCCCCCTTAGGTTTTGACAAGCCCTAGACCCTTCCTTTCTCACCAAAGGCGGGCTGAGGGGGTGGGGGAGGGGGCGGCGGAGCATAGTCTTGCAAGGGGTCAGCTGACCCTAGCCCTCCTTGGCTGTCCTGGCTTACGCAACACATTCATTCTCCCGCCCGGTTTTCAGAAGGCGTTTGTGTGTGGCTAATTAATTCGTGGGCCCATGAGGGAGCTGAATAATAGACTTAATGACCAAAGCGGTGGGTGAGGGGAGGAGATGGGCGTGCAAAGCCAGCTAGCAGTGCTCAAGAGGTGCAGAGCCTGTACAGGGCTACGTGTTGGCCTGGGCAATTAAGCGGGGCGGTGAGAAGATCAGACTTAGATTTGCGCAGCCTCACCGAGGGGCAGAATACTTCCTGGCAGGCCACAGAGGAAGCAATTAGAATAAGAAGCAGCTGGATGAAAGTGAGCTTTAAGGCTGTTGCCATGGGGACTGAGAGACAGAAAGGCATTTGAAGGGAGACCACTGGCAGGCTTCAGACAATGGGTGGGAATGGGGAGCAGGGAGATGGTAGAGTGCAGTTGGAGCTTAGGTTTCTAGGCCAGCGAGCCAGCAGGCATGCCTTGCCCTGTCTCCCCCGTGCACACTCTGACCTTTGTCCACTCCTTCTCTCTGCTCAGATTCCTCTGCCTGAATGTCTTCCCTCCATTTTGCACTAGCTAAGCTCCACCTGCTTGCTCACGGGCATCTTCCTTGTTTAAGTTTATTTTGACCTTCCCCAAAGAATAATGAGTCGGTCCTTACTCCCCCAAGGAAGGCCCCATAGTTAGGCATTCTGCTTTTCTTGTGTCATTTGAAATGTGAACTTGCTCAGAGCCTGGCTCCCCCACCCCCACCCCCTTAAAGTGGATGGATGTAACTCAAGTACTGGCTTCAAAGGGTTGTGTGAATTCAGTGAAAAGCCTTCACTGCATAGTGTAAGACAGGCTTTGCCTCTAAGTGTGTTTCAAGCAGCAGCAGCAGGTGAGAGTGGCATTTAATAAATGCATGTTGGAGGATTATGTGATGGAAAAGCTTTTACATGTGTTCCTTTTTAAGATGTGTTTTAATTTGCGTGCATGCGTACGCGCATGCATGCCACGTGTGCTGTACACGAGGGGCTAGCAGAGGGCGTGGGATCCCCTGGAACTGAGTTACAGGTGGTTGCGATCTGCCTGATGTGGGTGCTGGCAAGGAAACTTGGTTCCTCTGGAAGAGCAGCAAGTGCTCCTAGCTGCTGAGCCATTGCTCCAGCCCCTCACGTGAGCTCTTATGTCTTAAGAGGCAAAAGGGTACTTTGTACTTGTTTGGCTAGAAGGGATGAACGTAAGCTTGAGAGAGTCTCAGTTTGTAATCCTACTGGGGAAATGAGCCTGTGGGGCTCATAGACTTTGACATCTCCCAGCTTTTTGGTGGAGTCTGTGGAATCGGATATGGCTTTATCTAGTGAGTGAACTCGGTGTGGCGCGCAGTGTGTTTGTGGCAACAGCATTGCCAGCAGAAGCTCACCTAGTGAGGCCGAGACTCGTGTGTGTGTGTGTGTGTGTGTGTGTGTGTGTGTGTGTGTGTGTGTAGCAAGGAGATGGCTGCTGGCGAGAAACGGTCACTGAAATCAGAGCTGGGCACATGAATTTGTAGCCGGTTTGTATCGGTTCGAGGCCCTTGATAAGTTTACTGAATATCCTAATCCTCTGACTTGTTCTGTAGAGAAAAAGCTGATCTCTCTGGCATTGTCTGTCCAGTTTGCTGTCAGTCTCTGTGGAAGTTAACATTTCACACTAGTCATTTTTGAGTTTTGCCTTTTACTTTGTTTTATTTTTGTGATAATAATATAATTATATTTCTCCCTTCCTTTCCCTCTGTCCAAACTGTCTCATATGTCCTTCCAATTCGGGACTCTTTTTTCACTAGTTGTTATTGCATGCATATATGTATATTGATAGTAGGTATATATTTCTAAATAGGACCTGTTCATTCTCTATAATGTTACTTGTATGTATATTTTCAGAGTTGACTATTTGGCACTGGGCAACCAGTTGGTGGGCTCTTCCCTGTGGAATATGATTTCTTCTGCTCTTAGCTTTTCTTAGTTGCTTGTAGTTCTTTGTGTAGGGTTGAGATTTCATGGATTTTTTTTTCCCAGTGCAGTTTGCCATGTTCATTGGTGTCATCCTTTTTCAGTGTCTGGGGTGTCATGTTGGTGAGGCTTTATGGGTGTGGCTTCTGATATTACTAAGAGACACAATCTCACAGCAAATTCCTTGATCCTTTGACTTTTACAATCTTTATGTCCTCATCTTCCCTATGCTCCCTGTACCATTACAGAAGGCCCCCCTTGACTCAGGATGTATTTATTATATATTTATTTATTTATTACCATATTTGTGATTCTGTATATAGACTGAAATTTTGGGTACTTTCTTTCTAATTTTGACGGTATATACGAGAATGTAGTTCCCCAAATTTACTCTTACTGGAGTTTCCTTTTATAAGCAAAGTTCACTGATACTTCCTATTTGGTAAAGCAATTTCAGGTATATTTAATGATGCACTCCCTTCTGCCACACCAGTGAAATGAGGAGCGGGTACCATTTCCCCCGTCTTTACTTAAATGAACCATTGTTTCTCTCCACAAGGACAATGTAACTTTGCTCAGCACAATAGATAGAGCGGACAAATAATGTACAGCCTAGGGCCTCAACTGCCAGCCAGTTTTCCCAGAGAAGTAAGTGGGAACAGGGCTTAGGCTCTAGGGATTTTTTGCAAAGCCACAAAAACTGATTGCCATATTGCTTCCCAGTTATTTATCTAGAGAAAACAGTCATATACAGGTTATAAAGGCATGGACTCTAAATGGCGATTTCTTGGCCTCAGTTCCAGATTCTACCATATATGAGATTAAAATCCTTGGGACGCTGTTGAACCACTGCTATCTATGAAATCATGGAGACTATACTTGTCAGGTAATTTCCTTTGGGAGGGATTAAATTAGTTGTTATAAAGTAGTCCAGAATTAAATATTAGTGACGATACTCTAGGTCAGAAATTTTATTTTTGCAAGAGCCATAGTTACATAACATCTATATGTGTTAGGCATTGATCCAAAGTCATTGGAGGTTTGAGAGCAAGTCCACAGCTTGTTAGTGAACACAGTTTAAAAGCTTAGCATTTTAAAAAGTTTTATGTAAAGGATGCTGGCTCTGATTAGCAGAACCATAGATGATGCATCCAGGCATGAAGTAGGACATATCAGATTAATTTGGTGTAATCAGGAAGAGTATATCCAAATAAATGAGTCAACATTGCATTGAAACCTTAATGCTTAGTGGGCGTTATGCAATGGAAAAGGAAAAAGGTTGCATACAAATAGATGTTTGCAGAGCTGAAAGCCAAAATGAACAGACTCCTAGTGGTTTCAGTGATTGGAAACTATTCTGTCTATGGGCCAAATTTTAGTTCCTTTATCAGTGTGATATGAGGATCGTGAGGCACACAAGAGTTTTTAGTTTCTAATACTATATATACTGTATAGTCACATCATAATTTATTATACTATAACCCACTGCTTAAACGCATTTGCTTGCTTTTAAAAGCAACAGTCCGTACACATTTATGCACTTATCTACTTATTTGTATTTCTAGTCCCAGAATTAGTGGTTTGCATGGTTTTGTACATGTAAATCATGGTACAAATATCCAGGCTTAATTCCTTGAATAGTTGTGTCCTTTCTTAGTAAGCATTACCAGCAGTGAATGGATAGTATGTTTTTCACCACATCTTTGCCTTCCCTAAACATTAAATGTATATATAATACATTAGCAATCTCATGGGTAAGCTAGAACATCTTCTTGTTATTTTATATGCAATTAGCATAAATAAAGTACACATACTAAAATTGCACAATTTTATGCATTTTAACTTATGCATGTAACTGTTAATAGAGTTAAGATAATCATTGCATTCTTTTAGAATATTTTTATTACATTTGTTTAGTGGGGGTGCACACATGTTGCAGCATGCTAATGGAGGCCAAAGAACATCCCTCAGGAATGGTTTTTTTCCCTCCACTATGGGGGACAACGGGGATTGAACTCTGGTTCCCAGGCTTGGAAGCAAGCATCTTTATTCAACCTGCTGAACCATCTCAGCAGCCCAATCGTTATATAGTTCATCATCGAATTTCTTCATGCTTTGTTATAACTGTATCCCTTGTTGCTTTTCTCCACCCTTCCTCCATCCTAGGCACAGTTACCAGCTTTCTATCACAAGAGATTACATTACATTTCCTGTCATTTATGGAAATAAATTCAAACAGTAAGTGCTTTCCTAGCTTTTAGAATTTTTAAATTGTCTTGATTTATCATGCAAAGTAATGGGGTTCATAGTTTCATTGGCATAACTTTATACATATATGCCATTTTATTTTGTTCTTTTTTCTTTTAATATTTCAATTGTTTTTAAATTTCTGATGTTATAGTATTATTATGTTTCTCCCTTCCCTTTCCTCCCATATACCACTCCCTCCATACCCTCCCATATACCACTCCCTGCTTGTCTTTGAATCCATAGCCTCTTTTTTCACTAATTATTATCGCACGCCCCCCACTCCGTTACCCACTGCTTTCCTCACTCTTGCTTTCCACTCCGTCCTCCTGAAATACTTCTTCCTCCTTTTGTGCTATATATTGTCCCCTCTTGTTCCATACTCATCCCTCCCTTTATACACCTTTCTCCTCATAATCCTCTCTCTACTTTCATTTGTATATATATATATATATATATATATGTATGTATGTATGTATATATTGCATAGACATTTAAATTTAGGTTTTGCATATGACAGAAAACTAAAGTGGTATTTATTTTTCTTTTTCTTATTTTGTTTAACCTGATGATCTTCAGTTTCAACCATTTTCTTGAAAATATCATTTTATTCTTCTTTATGGCTGAGTAAAATTCCATTGTGTGTGTGTGTGTAGTAGTAGTAGTAGTAGTAAATTTTCTTTATCTGCTCCTCTCCTGGTGCATATCAAACAACAATAAGTAATGAAATAAGCAATAAATATGTGCGAGTATATCTGTGGCAGGACGTAGAGTCCTTAAGGTTCAGGAGGACTAATTTGATTCTTTTGGGGAACCTGCATACTGCTTTGCAAAGTATCTACATCACTTTATACCTCCACCAGGGTTTCTTCCACTTTTTTCACAATCTCATCATACGTATTTCTTCCTTTGGCCAATAAATAGGGATTTACAAAAAACAAACAAACAAAAAACCCCAAAACAAGACTTAGTCTTGCTAAGTAGTCCTGGCTTTGAAGGGGTGCTCTTTCTGTCTCAGACTCCAAACTGCTGAGATTAAAGGCATTAACTACCACACCCAGACTGATAATAAGTCTTTTTTCCTTGTTTGAATGATTTCACTCATCATTTTTCTTTTGTTTTTGTCCTGAATGACACATCAATATACAGATGAGGTACACTTTGATTAAGCAGCCGCCCGTGCATAAACATTTTAACTATTTGCAGTTTGGCACTGTAATAAAAACCAAGTGACAAGGGCACCAGCATGCTTTTACTTTTAAATAAACAAAATATTTTTCTTTTTAATTTATTAATTTTATTAATGTATTTTGTTCTTTGACAATTGTGAATGTCTCTTTATCTTATTTATTATTACTAGTGTGTGTTGTGTGTATGATTTGTATAGGCACACTCATACCATGGCACACATGAGGAGGTCAGGGAACAATTTGTGCAGTCAGTTCTCTTCTTCTGCCTTTATGTGGGCTCTAGGGATCAAACTAGGGTTATCAGACTTTCACAGCTAGTGTTTTTATTCACTGAACCATCTTTCTGGCCCTTTTTAAATTAAAAGTGTAAGTTAGTATACAGCATGATGGGTTCATTATGGCATTTTCATACATACTTTTTTTATCCACCTCCTTCTCCTAATGCTTTTGCAGTCCTGCCACTTCCCTCTGACTAGTTCCCTTTCTTTCCTCTTAGTTTTAACCCCTTACTTTTAAGCCATGTAAATTCCATTACCTTTTCTTTTTCCTTCTTCTTCCCTCCCTTAAAATATCTTCTTCCAGTCAAATGTGGTGATACATTGGAATTCCAGCCCTTAAGAGAGGAAGGTAGGAAGATCACAAGTTCAAGGCCAGCATGGGCTTCATGAAAACCTCAAAAACAAAACAAAGACCCATGAGATGCCTCTGTTAAGAAAGGGTCTTTTTTTATTATTTAAATTTATTTATTTATTAAGGATTTCTGCCTCGTCCCCGCAACCGCTTCCCATTTCCCTCCCCCTCCCCCGATCAAGTCCCCCTCCCTCATCTGCTCGAAGAGCAATCAGGGTTCCCTGACCTGTGGGAAGCCCAAAGACTGCCCACCTCTATCCAGGTCTCGTAAGGTGAGCATCCAAACTGCCTAGGCTCCCACAAAGCCAGTAAGTGCAGTAGGATCAAAAACCCACTGCAATTGTTCTTGAATTCTCAGTATTCCTCATTGTCCGCTATGTTCAGCTAGTCCGGATTTATCCCATGCTTTTTCAGACCTAGGCCAGCTGGCCTTGGTGAGATCCCAATAGAACATCCCCATTGTCTTAGTGTGTGGGTGCAACCCTCGTGGTCCTGAGTTCCTTGCTCGTGCTCCGTCTCCTTCTGCTCCTGATTTGGACCTTGAGATTTCTGTCCGGTGCTCCCATGTGGGTCTCTGTCTCTGTCTCCTTTCATCGCCTTCAACGGAAGAATGGATGAAGAAAGTATGGAATATATACATATTAGAGTATTACTCAGCAGTAAAAAACAAG